GGTCGCAGCCTTATTACGTAGATGAAATACATTTGTAATTGGCGGGATTTGAACCTGGGACCTCGGAAACTGACGTCCTGCACTGTACTGCTAGACCATCTCGCCCCTCCGTTTATTCATACAACCCCGAGTTTTATTTTAAAAAACTCTGTTTTTTATCAAGAAGAAATTTTCATAATTAGATTCAATGCTAAGAGTTATAGCTTGGCGTGTTTCCCATTTAAAGGTGTGTTCAACAACAAAGGCAAATCGTTTTCAAACATAACATGAAACGGAAGCCACTGAGTGATTTCGGCGTATTTGTCTTTGTTTTAATTACTGTTGCTGTTTTGTTTGTTGAATTGAGAGCAGAGCGGTGTACGAAATATCGTGTTGAAACACTTATTCCAGCTTCTTATAAATATCTAGAATGCAAAGGTTAAAGTGTAAAAAAAGCAGTGGATTTATCAATCAATGATTAATGCTTTAAGGATACTTGAATTACTATTCCCCAAAAAATTATTTAATTTGTTAAAATTTTACAAGTATTGTTTATAACAGAGTTATATATATTATTTTGAAATAACGAATTAATCTGTATGTAGATATGAATTAGAATATCACGGGCTCAAACTTATTTTAAAATGCAAAGTTTTATCTGAGCAGTGGACGATTTTTTCATAAATCAGGATCATACATTGTATGGGTTCAGTTGCTCAAATTCCCAGATTTTGTAAAGGCTTTATCAGGGCTTAGTTAGGATTTCCCAACGTTCGCAGTCTATATACTTAACGAAATAGTTACATTTTACAAGAATTAACTTAATTTACAAATTTGAGCCTTCGTTAATAAAACTAAACTTTACTACTGACTAAAATTATAGCTGTTTGTATGAATCTGATGTAGAATAGCTTTTAAAGAAAATCGTATGATAAAATATTTACGAAATGCATTTTCAGATTGAAAAATTAAGATGAATTTTTCGGAGTAGTAAAATTAATATATTCGTAAAAGACCTACCTTAGCTTGGATTTTGTAAAAAATGCATTCTTATTATGGTTGTGCCTTTTGTTTTTTCATTGTAGATTTTTTTATGTTGAAACTTGGTAACAGAGTATCGTTGACTTCATTACGACTTGGGCAAACCATGTATTAAAATCTTTGAACTTACTATGTGAAAAATAACTCAATTATAATCGAATTTATCGATAGAATTTTCGAAAGTCAAAATGACATTCCATTATTGATGTAGCAAGACCCCTGACACTAAGTAAATTGACTTTGAGAGCGAAATTCAATTATGTTGGAGGAACTAACTGAGGCAAAATGAATCTGAGCTTAGGAAATTCGGAAAATTTGCACCTGCTCATATTTTCATTTTTTCAAACTTAAATTTAATTTGTTGATTTGTTGATGAATAGTTGATGTTATTAGATAAAACTTTAACATATTTTAATTCATTGACAGTAATTTTAGAAACTATTTTAAGACGTGTTTCTTCAAATACATTAAACAATATTTCTTTATTCTTCAAATGTATATTTGAAATACAAAAATTGTTATAAGCTGCATTACTTTTCACATAGATTTAGATTTATGAGTAATGATAAATATATGTTTGTTTGCTAAGCTCCGTATGGCAGGACTGTTTTGTTAGCGATTCCTGTTTATCTTAACGGTAAATTTACCTCCCTTTGCTTGAAATTCAATCAACTTTATCAGATCCAATTCTTATCCTAAACGGTAGAAAGCATACATGACATGATGCATGAAATCTAAGCCAGTTTTAGCATAGAATGCTCTATAGAAAATAATAGTAATATATGTAAGTTTACAGTACAAATTTTTTATTTGTACTATTTTTGAAATAATTTAAATTCGTATAAGGGTTAAATTAGTTAAAATATTAGGTGCTAGAAAAATTTAAGATCTTTATAAAAAAACGAGTTGAAAAATGCAGTCCTTGTATACGCAATACCTTAAGTAAGTAGTTAAGTAAATAAATAATTAATAAATGGTTTCTTAGATTAATACAAAATATAATAATATAATAATTCAATTTTGTTTGCATTTATATTGACCATTATCAGGACTCACAATATTTACTATAATTTCTCTTACGAAGCATTGACTTACTTATAACCGTAATTTTTTTAATTGATAATTATTAAATTGTATTTATTGATTTGTGAGAACTGAGGCAATCGTTGATGAACAAATCTAAGAATTTTATTTTATAAATTACATTTGAGATTATTAGTAGCGTTCAGATTTAACCTTCACAAATATTCTTACTCCATTCTACTACACTCACCCTTTATTCATATTCAGACAAAAACTACTCACCAAACTCTGCATAGTTATCTTGAATTGAATTGCGAATTTATATTTTGTTTTACATCATTTTTAATTCGCTGACAATGAAAGAAGTGTATCAAAATATTTTTACCATATGAATATTTTTACACTTACACTTCCGTAATGCATTTACATTAAAGGATTTATTACTGTAATGTATTCTTCATCAATATTTTTTTATGTAGAGATATATTTTTGGAACTAGGTGGGTAGAAGTACTAGGTACTAGGGTAGATGTACTAGAAGTAGGTGGAAGTAGGTAGAATACTAGCTTCAAAATAATTTTCTACCAAAGATGAAGGATTTTACTTTGATGGTAAAATTTGATTACGCGAAAGAATGACACAGCGTAAACTAATTTAGGTTGCGGATCAAGATCCAATTTTGGTTTCCCTTGAATAATATAACATTTTAATAAACATCTTGAAAGGTAATTAATTTTATATTTATACATATACAATCGAATCATAAAGGTTAACGACGTATCTTCAACATCACAATGTATTTGTGCTTTTGTTATACTGTACATCCAAACATGGTGTTTATTGTAAATAAGTAGTCCTCATAAAATATTATTTTATTTACTTATTAGTCATCAAAAAATATAAGCGTAAAGAATAAAAACTAATACATTTCAGTTTTAAAATATTATTTTACAAACGTAGCTGTTTAGATTGCCCTTCATGAACATCCATTAAGAAGTTGTCCAAGCCCTCAACAAGAACGTTTCCGGCCATCTTTCTTTTTATGTGCATGTGAAAAGCTCTTCGAGACTCAATTCTACAAAACTTTTCACGAACGGAAATTGGTTATTTCTTAGTCAATATGTATGTTTTGATCGCCAGAAATTCTGTATGAAACATTTTGAATTTACGTTCTGGGATTTACAGTAATTTCCCTTTGAAAGTATTTTGAATGTTTTCTACAGTATCTGCTTGAATAATATTATTTACTTTGCATCTTAAGCTTATAGTATTTTTCCCTTTAGGTTGCAAGAAACTATGCCAGTAAGGTCGTGTATTATTTATTCAACTGGTATTAATAAACACCGACCTTATAACTATGTGTTAGTAAAATTAAGTGGTTCAAGTGTACATTATCGAATTTTGATGTCGCTAGTTTTATTTTTCAAAATGAAATATCTGAAAAAATAATATCAAGAATGTTCATTATGTATATCCCTAGATTCAGTGAGACTTAGTTATCGGATTTCCTTAAATCGCCATTTTCCTTAAATTGGTATTGCTACAGAATTAAAAAGTATATTTTCATTTGTACATGGTAACGTTTAATTAATAAGCATGAAGTGTGCCACTATTCTGATAGATTTTCGCAATTTTCAAAACCGTAGAAATAGTTTCTATTAAAAAATATTTAAGAAAATTAGATTTGTCTTTTGTACCACTATTGTTTTTGCATTTTTAAAGTTTTGCCTCTTTTAATACAACAAATTAATAATTTTGGTTTGGATTTACTTTATCAACACATTTTAATTCACTTGATACTCAATTTGACTGCGGTGATTCATTTATAGTTATTAAATAAATTCAGTTCAACGTATATTTTCATGTTAACAATCCTTGACAAGTCTGTCAAGTAAAATGCGTTGTCGAATCTTGGTCAAATCCCAAAAATGTCAACATTAAAGGTCATTTGATGCTTTTGTGTAACACCCCATACAATTTGTTTAAGGCATTACATGACATAATATTACAAAGTAGAATTAATAATTTCTGTTTATTTTGGGAACACCAATGAACCCTTAACTATTACATTTACCATTAATAATCAACTAATATAATGTATAAATATAAAAAAGTTACTTTAGAGCACAAGGTGATGAATTGCGATAAAAAAAGTATTTTAACTGCAAAGCATACACTATGAACGTCAAATTTTTAGTATTTTTGATCCATTGCATTCTTAACGCATTTATTCTTGTTTAAACGCCGAAAAAAAAAACTGTATCTAATTTAATAGTGGAACTGCAACATTCATTCATCGAAATTATTATTTAATTAATCATTGATAAAGTACGGACTTTTTTGATTTTACTGTGTTAATTATACAATACAAGTTAATAGGTAATTGCGTTATTATTTTAAATTATCCCTTTTTTATCCAGAACCAAGTTTAAGAGTGTGTATGAAAATACAATTTGGGTTTCTTTTAAACCATTACACTTTCTAAATTAAAAAGAAAATCTATTTTACGCCACACTACATTATTTTGACGAACTTCCCACGCAAGCATTTAGTCCAGAAAACAGCTGTTTGCCGCCAGCTTATTCAAATGGGGTTTCATTGCGTAATACTGTTCTGCAATGAGTTTTACCGGACACCAATCAGCTGATTATACTGTATTTAGATGGCAATGATTGGTTATAAACAAAAACATAACCTCTCTTAGAGGTTATGGCTGGTGATGTTTAGTCCTTTAGTTGGTGGAAATATATACGGATTTGTACTAATTAAGTAGTATGGCGTAAACTATCGTACGTAACTCGTCCAAAATGTGTGTACCGGACTCGTATGGTAATCCCGGTAAACACTTATTTTCAGGACTAGTAACGTAATATACTATTACATTAGAATAGACACTAGAGATTTTGAGCTTTTTTGTAAATATTATATCTTCTATTTTACGAAGAAATATTGTTTCAGGGTTTTGGATCCACGGCAAGAAGTTGATACATAGACTTCAGTCCATACAGGTAGATAGAAAATTGCTTTTTTAATAATTAATTATTTAGAAGTTCTAATCGGTCTCACATTAATATTTTTTCCTTGGATTCAGTTGCATAACTGGACCTCCTCCTTTTAACGTGACATTTTAAAACGCTTGTTGCCAACATTTTAGGGATCAAATCCAATTTAAGAAAGCCTACAGAATCTAAATGCTTTGTAAGAATCTCTGTTGAACTTTTTTAAAAACTTAATTTGCTCGCTGGTTGATGAAGTCTTAGATATTCATGAGACACAAGATCAACCCAATCTTGTTGAGCGTGTCTTTTGATAGATTATCTCTTGAAACTATGAGTCTTTCATAATCAAGCTCAATGTAGGATATATTTAAATTTTATATTGAGATTCATTTTTATTTAGTTTTTTATTGACAACAAATATTAAATCCTGATGGACAATTCATTGTTTTTTATTTTTAAGAGTTGTTAGCCTCCGGATTACGTTTGAATATTTATAATGGTTTAAATACCTGCATTCAGTAATCCAATGAGCTGCTTGTGGCAACCATAGTTTCGGTTCACAGGGAACCATCTTCAGGCCGTACAAGGCGTCGTTATTCACTTCCATATGTGAAGGTCGTCATTTAATAAATCGTGACTATGTCGTGTTCTATGTACTTATTTATTAAATGACGACCTTCACATATGGAAGTGAATAACGACGCCTTGTACGGCCTGAAGATGGTTCCCTGTGAACCGAAACTATAGTTGCCACAAGCAGCTCATTGGATTACTGAATGCAGGTATTTAAACCATTATAAATATTGTTTTTTACTCTTCTGTGTAATAGTAAGGTGTTAAGTTTTCAAAGTTGATCCACTTTTTTGTAGTGATTTTTCAATTCATGACTTCACTATAAATATAGAAATTGTTTACCTTAATTATTAAGCTTGCAAAATCAGTTCATAGCCTATTAACTTAATAAATAAATGCTGAATAATATATAAACTAACATTCAAATGAATACTTAATAATTAAATTATCTAAACTTTCAATTATATAAACTTTCTTATCTTAAATAATGTTAAAATATGTTTTATATTTTATTTTAAATGGTGCCATTAAAAAAATTGATTCATGGAAGAAAACGATTTCTAGAATAAAATTGCTAATTGCTACAATTAAACCATTTACACTACAGTAGTTAACAACAAAACCTCATGTTAATCAATAAACCTAGCTTATTGTGCTGTTCTTCGTATCGAAAATTGTAACTACTGATAGTATTTGACCTAACTGATTATTTTCCATTTTAGGAACAAATACAATAGCTATGTCCTTGAAAAAATATGATTATTTTTCTTGTATGTACCGAAATAATTACTTGTTTGCCAAAAAATAAAGTAATGAAAAAGCGGTTTTATTTAAAGTAAAATAAACAGTCAAAGCTCAAACGAGATTTTTAAACAACAACCGATTGAATTCCAACCTAAAAGTTTATTTCACATAGTTACTGTCCATGTCCTAAAATGTCGCTTTGCTGGAAAACTATTAGCTTAAACTCGATGACGTATGCAAGGGGACGTGATTGCCGTGATTGTTGGCAGCCCTGTTAAATATTCAACAGGTGATGTTGTTAGCGTAAACACTGCTGCCAACTTAGAACCAATAAATACACTGACCCGTTTAACGGCTTTCAAAACCAAACTTATTCTCAACGAGGTGTTTATTGCAATACAAAGTTACAAGTTATAAAAATTATTTGACACAAAATTATTTATTGTAAATGTACATAAAAATATGTCAAACTTTTGGTTGTATTTTGAACTATTTAAAGTTATGTTTAAAAACTGATTAATATTAAATTTGTAAAATTAAATTTCAAACAATTTTTTGTAAAATTAATTCATTATTCTTATATTTAGGGTAGGGTAAGCACAAACACTTACATTCAACATTTAATTCCTTTTAATGAGGTAGAGAATAATATACTTAAATCATAGGAAGCCAGAAAGCAAGCTTATTATTGTATCTTGATATTTCATTTACTGTCTTTTATCCATTGCTAATTTGTAAAGTCAACAATTATTGTAAACACATATAAAAGAAAACAAACGTATAATAACTTCCAAAGGTTATTTGCTCCTATGTCTTTTCTAGTTTAAAATCTATCTTAATACACATATTTCACATATTCAAATACAGTAAGGTATAGATGATTAAAAATGTATATATATGGTGTATAATCCCCTGAAAAGCATTTGTTAACTTTAATAAAATATAATCTAAAGAATTTCCTTTAATGAATATTTGTTTCAACGCAGAGCCTGAAATAGAATTATTGAATATGTAATTTGTTTAAGTAACAGACATTTGGACAACGTCTTGAAAACCTAAAAATATATATTCTATACCATATAAATTTCAACATCGATGAAGTTTTTAAAATATTCTTTTTACTTTAAAAGTAAGGATAAATATGTTTTATCACACTTATTGATAACTACAACACTGAATGTTATACAATACTGTATCCAAACCACTAAATCATTAATATGTAGTTGCAATTTGGTCAAACATGATGATGCATATGGAATCTGACATGAGTTTGGTTTTCTGGCTCTCGTCCAAAGGTAAAGAGCTATTTATTTAAAGAAAGCAACAGTGATAAATATCCTGAACACTGTTAATGACATCATTAGTCTGGTCACACTTTAAAACGTCTACGTCAATTTTGCTCCGTGCCTAATCCTCTAACAACATTTTAATTCTGAATATTCTACATTTTTGGAAATAGTCTTTATCTTATTGACAGATGAAAACAACCATTGTAGATGTAGATGAATCTCAAAATTTTATTTATTGGTGAAGATTTTTTTATGATTAAAATTTGTTCTGACAAGTTTTTTTTCAGAATTAGGGTATTTCAATGTAGTAGTACAATATTAAGGGAATACGCCACTATCTCTAGGCCATATTTTAGATTTTTTGTAAATTTTCCAAAATTTGCATTTTTATATAGGCCATTTAATAGTGAACATTTACCTAAAATTGTTTGCCAATCTGACAACTCCTTCTAGTATAAAATAAATAAAATATATACATATAAATAAAACGCCGCAACCAGCAATTTGACAAAAGTTTTTTTGTTCCTGATATTTACATTTTTAACTTTGTATCATAATTATGTATTATGAAGGTATAAAGTAGGGTACATTTATTTAAATCATAACAAGTACTTTGGTATTTTTATAATATAAAATAATAAATTAGTGTTGTTATGGGGATTTAGTTCTGCCAACCACCTGTTACATCACCTGCGATTATCTCACTACCGTGTTTTTAGGTTATTATTGTAAAAAACTTAGAATAACTCCGTTAGTACTACAGTATACTTATAGTATTCAAATTTTCACAAGACCCTCTTGTGTGTGTAGTAAACCCTATAGCATTACATTTACTATTACTAAAAATATATATGTTTACGCGAAATTTTAATTTTTTTAGCTTTTTTATATTTTGAATAAAAAGTGTCCTAAAATTTTTGTTTTTTTAGTTACCATAACGATTATTCACAGAATGGCTCATTATTTCATCCTGAATCAGGAAATAAATAGAATATGTCATTCAGTTCAGTAGTTGAAAAGTTATTCTCAATACCGAATTCCTAAAAATTTGGTTGAAAAAAACTAAAAACGCATATAAATTTTGTAAATAAATCATAAATTCAATATTTTTGGACCTAAATCTTCTAATGAAGTAAAGTATAAACAAAATATACTAATTAGGTTGACAAAAATAAAAAAATAAAAATAAAGTTGGAGATAGTGGCGTATCCCCAATAACATTAATATTATCGTAGGTTGTTTTGGAGCTTACATTGATACAAACAACACTAATGTAACAACTCATGTCCTCAATACCATTATCACCTTATCCTATGACTATAAGACCTTCAATACAGTCAATATTTATGTTTTCATAAACATTTAAACTATCAAGGTAATGAGAATGAATGCACGTCTGATTTTATCTTTGCTTTAAGAGCTACCTTGATAATTAAAGAATACGTAAGATATATTAAAAATTAATTAACATGTTCTGATGTTTTTCTACTGTTACAAAAAAATCAATCAATATGAAATTTCTTTCTTTACTATTGGGAGGATTAACAAGTAGTATGGATTTTGCAATATATTTTAAATAAAGTTAATAAATCCAAAACACTCTTATAATACGGAACACCCACAGAGCCTAATAATTCAATCTGAATATGAAGCCCCACTATATCATATCCTGAATAATGACAATATGCAACATCGCTCATATCATGAACCAATCAGCTGATATTTCAAGTTAATTGAAACTATATGAGGTCGTTATAATGAAGCAAACGGTCTCAATTAGGGTTTAATCCTCCTGTAATGTCTATATCAGTCAATGCATAATGTACAGGTTTTTTTTATGGAAACCTACATTTTTAATGCTGAAAGACATTGTTTAAGGTAAGATCAATGGTTTTTTGCTCTGCAAATGAGTTGTTGCTGTCCAAAATGTGTTATTGTAAATGTAAGGAATGTAAGACTTGAAATAATTTAAAGCTCAAAAAGTGTGTCTAGACAATTGGCTTTGTAAAGAGGAAGGTATCAAATCAAGTTTTAGGAGTGGTTCCGGCATTTAAAATTCAGTCAAAAAGGAAACCGGATATGTACAAAAAAATAAAACCTAAATTACATGCTTACATAAACACCAATGTTGATATCATTCACCAAAGATTTCTAAAAAAACACAATAAATCACTTAGGAAAAAATTTTACAATGCATATTTGCTGATAATTTCCTTTAAAAACATGAGCTTTACATTTTTACTCCAACCAAAACAACATGTTTAGACTGTACATGTTTAAAAAATGTAAGAAAACTTTTTACTGAACTGAAATGTTGTTGTGAAATGTTGTATCATGCAAAGTATTACGCTCACATTCACTAACAAAACAGTTCTGCTACAGTCTTTAAAACAACAAAGACAA